TTTCTCATAGTAGCTTCATCTGGTCTGTTCCTGTTTGGCTGTGACTCCAGCGTACCATAAAGAATAAATGATGATCAGTTTAGTTTGTGCCTTCAAGTCGTTGCCCATAGGAAGACGTTACTTGGATATAACCTAACGGAATATCTTCAGAACGGCTCCAAATGACACTAAACTCATATGGGGGAGTAGAACATGATGGAATAACGGAAAATCAAGGGACCAATAGGAAAAAACAAAAAACGGTGTTCCTCTTTAAGGAGACCTGTGTTTAAAACATCAAGAAAGCAGGAAGAGCAGATTAGCTGCTGAACAGTCTGTTCTAAACTTTTGCAGTTTATTAAGCAGAATTTGGACATTTTTGACAGACAGACAGACAGACAGACAGATAGGATGTGTATAATTGGGTGTGTATGGTACCCTTTAGTGACACAAACAGGTTAATATTGAAGGTGTAGGCATCATCATGTCGAAGATATGGGAGAGGTTCAGGATCCTGTAAAACAAAACAAAACATAGAAAACATGAGATAATCAAACAGTAATATAGCTTGTATAAATTACTATGATTAATGAGGTGTCCATAAATGTTGAATTCATTGGTTAAACATGTCCCCGATGCGTTATAAATATCATTCTGATTTGTTGAAAAACTTTTTTTTATGATTGTAGTCAGAACCGAATGTTTACTTCAATTAAATCTTTACAAATCATTCATGCAGTCAAAGATGTTTGAGCATAACCTTTAGAATAAGAGCCTTCTTTTGATGCATCTCTGCTCCAACACACCTGAATCTAAAGGTTAAATAAACTCCTGGCATGTCAGCCTGTTAAGTAGAGACCTGGACATCAATCATTCCTTTGTTTCAGGTGTGTTAGAGCAGGTACGCCATCAACAACTGCAGAACAGTGGAACTCAAGGACTCTAGAAGATCGGGATATGAATGTTTTCAATAAGTTGCAACACTTTCACTGACCTGTATGGGATTAGGCTCTGCAAAAGGCAACGGTGCTTCCATTGGAACAACCCAGGGTGAGATGGTTGTTCCAAAATTCTTCCCTAAGAAAGGTCCAAGAGGAACATACTCCCAAGCCTGGATATCTCTAGCTGCAAAATAGAAAAAGCACATTCATAGGACTTTATTGATAGGCAGAGGAATAAACTCTTCCTGATCATCATCTCCTGATCTTTGCAAACAGTACAACACATTTTTGGAGCATTTTTCCCTCTAAAATACTGATGATGTCAGGAGATATTTCTTCATAGATCTATTCATTATGAACATTTTCTTCTTACCCTCTGATGGTTGAAATAAAATGATAGCTGTTTTAAGACATACATGCTTGATTTTGTATAAAATAAAACCCCACATATAAAGTTCCATCTTTTTTCTGAATGATGATAATGACAATGAAACTAAAATCTACACACCATCACTGTTTTAACCTCTAACAGTGTGTTATGCGTTTTGCATTATTTAAAAAAGTGAAATATCATTATGGGGCTGATGACTGACTTAATTTTTTTATTCCATTCTCCTGCCCATCTCCGCCCAGTTCCTTATCACCACTCATCTGATCCAACAGCTCCAGTTTCTGTTTAACATGCATGTCTCCAGTAATCAGTGCCAGAATATTCTAGCCTTTGGTGAGCCTTCTAGTGAGTATTAGTGTTTCTGATTGCCTGATCCTGACCCGTTCTGCCTTTGGACTCTGAGCCTGCCTGTTCTGGTTCTGATCTGTTTGCCTGACATGTCTTCAGGCAAGAAGTCTTCGAGTCATGGGGACTACACAGCTATTGACACACTGGTGTCAACAAGCTACACTGTAGGCACAGCTGCCCCGGGGCATAAAGGCAGAAGTGAGACTGCTTTAGACTGGAATCAGTGGGCCCTCTGACAAACATCAACACGCAGCGCGGGTGAAGTGTCTCAACCAAGGAGACATCACTGAGACTGAAAGAGCTGGGGTTCAAACTTGCATTCCTCCTGTTGCAGGACAAACTACTGCATCCTATGTCACCTCAAAGCCAACATTAAGACACACAAGAGTCATTGGCATACAAACACTCCTGCTTCTGCTCTATACTCCTAGATGCAGGTGCAAATGCCCCGGGGGGCAACAGGCGACCAGCCCCAGGAACCAGGAGGTAGAACACTACAGCAACCAGGTCTGACAAGGGCAGAGCTCTACCCAAACCTGAATGACCCCCGTCCAGATCCCAGCAATGACCATATCCAGAGACGGACCAAGTCCACACTAGAGCCAACTAAAGCAACACTTTCATTTAACAGTCCTGCCCCCGCCAAGATTTCTGGTTCAATTCCAGGAACCCCTTGTCCCATCCAGGAACCTCCATGTAATTTAGATTTATTTCAGATTGATCATAGATTAATAAGATCATCAGTTTAATTTGTTTTGTCCTACAAGGCTGCAACAGTAGAGTGTTAGTTAAAAAAACAATTCCATTCCAAAAAGGCATTTTGGAAATTTAAAAAGAGGATTTAGTTTTTTTGCAAGGAGGTGTGGCAGCCATATTTCAGTCCATTTTTTGATTAGTCCAAGGACATTTAATTGCAGTGCCCTGCCACAGCTTGTTTGTTGACCACCAGAGTCTCACTCTCAGCTTTTAGATTAGTTCTTTTACTCGTTATCAAATTTAGTGCTACATACAGACAGAGTCATTACAATAGGGGATTGAAACATTCCTATTAATACTGAAAATTAGCTTTCTGAGCTAGCTTAAGCTACTGGAAAACATAAAAACTACACTGCGTCATTCTCTATTGTTCTGTGTTTCATCCTCATAGCTACGTCTGTCTTAGAGCTCTGTTAAGCTTTGATTAGCTGTTGTAAACAATGTCATGTTAAACTCCATCCCGTCTTTCTCTTCTGGACATACAGTTGTGCTCATAAGTTTACAAACCTGGGTGGAAGTTTTAATTTCTTGACCATTTTTTAGAGAATATGAATGAAATAAGAACAATTTAAACTAATTATTTGCGGTTGTGTGAAGCCATTTATTGTCAAAGAACAATGTTTACTCTGTTTAAGTCTTACATTGATAAAACACTTCTTACCACTCCAGTCATTCATGAGCACCATCCCAAAGATGTGTTCATGGGCCTTGCTGATTGGAATGGGCTCCCCGAGCTGATTGCCTCCTCCAACAAAGAAAGCCTGTTATAGAAAGAAAGATAAATAACATTGATGAACATTCACATGTCAAACACAATGATTATTTATCCATCCATCCATTTTCCATCACGCTCATCCCAAGAGGGGTGGGTGAGGGGTGTTGGTGTCTGTCTCCAGGTCTCCAGTCCTTCGCAGGGCAACACAGAGACAAACAACCATTCACACTCACGCCTAAATTGAATCTAGAGAAGCCAGTTAACCTAACAGTCATGTTTTTGGACTGTGGGAGGAAGCTAGAGTACCCGGAGAGAACCCACGCATGAACAGGGAGAACATGCAAACTCCAGAAAGACCTCGGGAATCAAACCAAGAACTTTCTTGCTGCACAGCAGCAGTGCAACCCACTGCTCCACTGAGCAGCCACCTGATTGATAATGTAAAAGGATATTTCCTTAACATTCACGTAACAGGTTGGTTGTTCATCCAGTAAAATGAGACTAATTTCATAAAATAAATAATGTGATATAATAAATAATCACCATCTCAAGCTCAATGTCCAGTTGCTTGGAGGGGCCAAACACAGGAGGCTTAGCTGAAAGAAAGAAAAAAGGTTAATGTAGTAAATGTAACAAGTCTGTTTTATATATATATATAAATTACTGGGGTGCCTATGGATATTATGTTTTAAATAAGGTAAAATTACAAATTCCACAATAATTGTGCTAAACTTGTTGAAAATATTTCAGTTTCACCACAATTCACAAATAAGCGAGCTGGAACAGATGGGTTTGGAGTCTGGCTTTGAATAAGGGGAGAGAGTAAATACTGCGGAGGTCGGTAGGAAGGGAGTTCCAGAGCTGGAGGAGGTGCCAATGTGAAGGAGGTCTGACAGATATGGAGGAGCAAGGTTATGGATGGCTTTGAAAGTATAGAGAAGGATTTTAAATTGAATTCTGAATTGAACTGGGAGCCAATGGAGTTGGTGAAGGACAGGGCAAATATGATGGAAGGAGGGGGTTCTTGGGATGACACGAGCAGCAGAGTTCCGAAGAAGTTGAAGTTTATGGAGAGATTTATGAGGGAGGCAGAAAAGAAGAGAATTACAATAATCAATATGGGAGGTGATGAGGCTGTGGATAAGGACAGAGGCAGTATGAGTGGTGAGGGAGGAACGGAGGCGGTTAATGATGCCAAGGTCGGAGTATGCAGACCTGGTAATGACTGAAAGGAGAGGGAGGAGTCGAGGATGACACCCAGACTCTTGACCTGAGGGGAGGGGGAGACCAAGGAGTTGTCAATGGTAGTGAGAAACTTTTGATTTTGGATAGGCTGGATTTAGTGGCAACGAGGAGGAGTTCAGTTTTATCACTGTTAGGTTTAAGGAAGTTTGAGGTGAACCAGCCTTTAATTTCAAGTAGGCAGTTAGTAAGGGACAAGGGTGGGGAGTGAGGAAGTGGCCAAGGGGAAGGAGGTAGGTGATGAAGAGGAGGGGGCCAAGAACTGAGCCTTGAGGAACACCAGAAGTGACAGGGGAAGGGTGCGATGTGAAGGATTTGAGCTGAATAAACTGAGTGCAGTCGGAAAGATATGAGCGGAACCAGTCAAGAGGGATGTGAGAGATGCCAAGAGGATAATCTATTGAGGAGAATGGGGAGAGAAATGGTATCAAAGGCTGCACTGAGATCGAGAAGGATGACGATGGAGAGGAGTCCAGAGTCAGCAGCTACAAGGAGATCGTTTGTGATTTCTATTAGGGCAGTTTCAGTACTATGACAGGGGCAAAAACCAGACTGGAAAGGCTCATAAAGGCTGTTGAGGGTAAGAAACGTGTGGAGTTGAGCAGACACAATTTTTTCAAGTATTTTAGAGATAAAGGGAAGATTAGAAATGGGACGAAGATTATTAAAGTTAGCGGGATCAGAACCAGGTTTTTTCAGAATCGGGGAGACAGATGCAGTTTTGAAAAGTGAAGGAACAATACCAGAGGAGAGTTAGGAATGAATAATGGAAGTAATGAAGGGGAGGAGGGAGGTAAGACCAGAACTGTGGGGAGGGGGTCAAGAGAACAGGTAGAGGACTTGGATTTTCGAATAAGGTCAGAAATTCCAGTAGGAAGGAGGAGAATGACTGGCTACGGGGGAGGGGCGGAGGGGAAGTGGGAGGCAAGGCGGTCATATGCAATTACTGGTGAATGGAGCAGATTTTTTCATTAAAGAAGGTTAACAAAGAATTACAGGTCTGACTAGAATACGTGTAAGAAGGCAGGGTATCAGGGGGGTCAAAGATCTTGTGCATAATAGAAAAGAGAGACTTAGAATTTCCATCATTGGAGCAGATAAGGTCAGAATAGTAGTTTGATTTAGTTATGGCTATTAAGTTTGAATATTGAAGAAGATGAGTTTTATGCATTTCTTTGTGTATGGAGAGACCAGTTTTTTTTTGTGGAGGCGTTCCAGTTGCCGACCTTTGGCCTTCATGAGGTGGAGCTCAGGAGTAAACCAAGGGGCAGAGCGGGAAAAGGACACAGACCGGGTTTTGAGAGGGGCAAGGGAATTGAGAATATTGGAAATTCCAGAGTTGTAGTGGGTGACAAGGTGGTCCGGAGAGGAAAGAGCAGGGATTGGGATATTGTCAATGTGGGAGGATAAAATGTCTGTTTATGTTCTTAATATTGTTTTTTTTTTTAGGAGTAAATGTTTCATTCACCATTTTTCTGCCATCAACACCTTTGTTTCTAGATGTTGGAGCTTGGCCTGTTTTCCAGTGTAGTCCTGTTTCTCTGACTGTGACTAACTGGAT